GGTTTTCCTTATTGTTGATTTTTAAAGAGTTCATTGTATATTTTGGATACAAATCCTTTATCATATATATTTTGCAAAATTTTTATCCCAGGTTGTGGCATATCTTTTCATTTTAACAGTGTCCTTCACAGAGCAGTTTTTAATTTTAATAAAGTCCAACTAATTTTTTTATTTCATGAATCATGCTTTTGGTGTTGTAGCTAAAAAGTCATCGCCAAAGTCAGTGTCAGTCCTCCAACTTTGTTCTTTTTAAGTATCTTGGCAGCTACTCTGTGTCTTTCCCTCATTAACTTTAAAATTTTGTCAACATCCACAAGTACCTTGCTAGGATTTTTATTGAGATTTCATTGAATCTGTAAAGTCAGGAAGGCATAACACCTTAACAATATTTAGTCTTCCTACACATGAACATGGAATATTCTTCTATTTATTTCTATCTTCAATTTGTTTCATGAGACTTTTGTAGTTTTCCATATAGATCTTGTACAAAGTTAATTTCGTTTCCTTCCTTCCTTTCTTCTCTCTCTACTCTCTTTTGGTGCTAATGTAAATGTTTTAAATTTCTAATTCCAAATGTTCATCCCTGGTATATACAAGAAAGTAACTGAATGTGTATGAACCATACATTCTCTGTAAACTTGCTATATTCAGGTTTTAGTTCCAAATTATTTTTTGTTGAGACATAGGAATTTTGTCTTATTGCATTAGCAAGAACTTCCAGAGCAACATTAAATAGGAATGATGTAATCTACTTGCCTTGTTTCCGTTCTTCAAGGGAAAGCATCTGATGTCCCACCATTAAGTATGCTAGCTGTAGGTTTTTTGTAGATATTCTTTATGAAGTTAAGGGTTTTCTTATATTCCTAGTTGGCTGAGAGCTTTGTTTTTATCACAGATAGGTGTGGGCTTTTTTGTCAAATGGCTTTTCTGTCTCTGTTGATATGATCATGACTTTTCTCCTTTAGTGTGATAATGTAATGGATTGTATAAACTGATTTGTTGAATCAGCCTTGCATACCTGAAATAAATGCCACTTGACTGTGGTGTATAGTTTTTTGTTATATATTGTTGTGTTAGATTTGCTAATATTCTTTGTTTGTCGCTCTTGTTGCCCAGGCTGGAGTGCAATGGTGTGATCTTGGCTCAATGCAACATCCTCCTCCCACATTCAAGCAATTCTCCTGCCTCAGCCTCCAACCTCAGCATGTTCCACCATGCCCAGCAGATTTTGTGTTTTTAGTAGAGACAAGGTTTCTCCACGTTGGTCAGGCTGGTCTCAAACTCCTGACCTCAGGTGATCTACCCACCTTGGCCTCCCAAAGTGCTGGGATTACAGGCATGAGCCACCATGCCCAGCAGATCTGCTAATATTCTGTTGAGAATTTTTACAGCTATGTTCATGAGAGATACTGGTCTGTAGTCCTTTTTTGTAACAACTTTACCTAATTTTGTTATCAGGGTAATTCTGGCCTCACATGCTTTTGTTGTTGTTGTTGTTTTGAGACGAAGTTTTACTTTGTCACGCAGGCTGAATTGAAGTGCAGTGGCGCAATCTCAGCTCACTGCATCCTCCCCCTCCCAGGTTCAAGTGATTCTTTTGCCTAAGTCTCTCGAGTAGCTGGGATTACAGGCACGCGCCACAATGCCTGGCTGAATTTTTTTTTTTTTTTTTTTTTTTGTATTTTTAGTAGAGATGGGGTTTCACCGTATTGGTCAGGCTGGTCTCAAACTCCTGGCATCGTGATCCACCCGCCTCAGCCTCCCAAAATGCTGGGATTACAGGCATGAGTCACCACACTTCGTCTCACAGAATGTGTTAAAACATTTCCTCTGCTTCTATTTTCTAGAATAGACTGTATAAAACTGGCATCACTTTCTCCTTGAATGGTAGAATTCACGAGTGAAGCCATCTGAGACCAGTGCTTTGTTTTGGAAGCTCATAATTGATTCAATTTATTTTATAAGTTTATGCAAGGCAGTTATTTCTCCTTGTGTGAGTTTTGGTAGGTTGTGTCTTTCACAAAATTGGTCCATTTCAACTGTTATCAAATTTGTGCACTCAGAATTGCTCATAACATTCCTTTATTATCCTTCTAATGTCCTAATGTTCAGAAGAAGAGTAATAATAATGGCACCTCTTTTCATTTCAGATTTTAGTAATTTTTGTTTTTTCTTTTGTTATGGCAGGAAGTTTTATAAATTTTAACTTTTCATTGAATTTCATTTGTTTCACTGAATTTCTCTATTGTTTTTGCTTCAATTTTATTGATTTCTACTCTACTATTTCTTCTGCTTACTTTGCATTTAATTTGCTCTTTTTCTAATTTCCTAAAGTAGTAATTGATTTTAGATCTTTAACGTTTTCCAATATATGCATTCAATACTATAAATTTCCCTCTAGCTACTGCTTTTGCTGCATCTCACAATTTTTTTTTTTTTTTTTTTGAGACAAAGTCTCGCTCTGTTCCCCAAGCTGGAGTGCAGTGGTGCCATCTCCGCTCACTGGATGCTCCGCATCCCAGGTTCATGCCATTCTCCTGCCTCTGCCTCCCAAGTAGCTGGGACTACAGGTGCCCGCCACCATGCCCAGCTAATTTTTTGTATTTTTAGTAGACATGAAGTTTCATCGTGTTAGCCAGGATGGTCTCAATCTCCTGACCTCATGATCCACCCGCCTCGGCCTCCCAAAGTGCTGGGATTACAGGCATGATCCACCGCACCCAGTCGCATCTCAGAAATTTTGATAATTTGTATTTTCATTTATTTCAAAATATATTTTCTCTTGAGACTTCTTTGACCTATGTGTTTAAAAGTGTGCTCCTTAATCTACAAGTATTTTGGGATTTTCCAGGTATTTTCTAATTTAATTCCTTTGTAGTTAAAGACATACATTCTATGGTGTCTTTTATTAAAAGTTAATTACCCCTTTATCACCATATGTTGCTTGATCATTTTCCTTGTTCTGAAGTCAGCTTTGTATGAAATTAATATAGCTACTCCAGCTTTCTTTTCATGAGTGTAGTTTGATATGTTAGTCTATCTAGGCTACCCTAACAAAATACCATACACTAGGTGACTTAAACAACATAAATTTTCTTTTTCTCAAATTTCTGAAGACTGGAAGTCTGGGATCAGGGTGTCATCACAATTTCTGGGGAAGGCTTTCTCATTTGTAGACAGCTACCTTCTAGTCGTATCTTCACATGGCAAAGAGAGCAAGCTCTCTGTGTCCCTTCTTATAAGGACACTAACCTTATGTTAGTCATGGTGCCACCTAACCTTAATTATCTTCCAAGATCCCTATCTGCAAATACTATCACACTGGGGGTTAGGGCTTCAACATACAAATTTGGGGAACAGGGGGAACACGAACATTCAGTCCATTAACACGGGATGTATCTTTCTCCATCTTTGTATTTAAAGTGGATTTCTTGTTTAGTCTTGTTTTTTAATCTTCTGTGACAGTTATCTGTGTATTTGTGTATTTAGACAACTCACATTTAAACTGATTGATATAAATTACTATATCTGTTAATGTTTTCTATTAATTGCTCTTCTTTTGTTCTTGTCTTCCACTTTTCTGCCTTCTCTAAGTTTAATCTAGCATCCTGTACAATTCCATTGTCTCTGCTCTCTTACCAGGATTAAACAGATATGTAACAATCTACCATCATGTGAACTGGCTCTCTGATTGTTGCAAAATAAGATTAAAATGGATGAACTTCTGGACACAGTCAAATGATAGAAGAGAATAATTATGTAACATGAAAAATAACAGCATGTATCAAATAGTGGTTACCCCAAGGCAGAGAGGACGACCTAGATAGGAAATACCAAAGGACATTTCACTTTTATCTGTAATATCTGCATTTATTTCTTGTATAATAAAAAATAAATTAAAAATTTTACATCTCTACAAGCTAAAAAAAAAAAGGCAAGATTCCATCAAAACAAAGTTGTAGGATAAACAATAATCTAGGAAAAGTATTAAGAATATTAAAAATAAGCCATTAGCAACTTTTCACTTACTAATTTTTGAGTCAGCATGTCATAAAATGCAATAAAGTATTTGATACCACTACATTTAGCAGTTGGTAGGCTATTGACATACCTCGTATAAACTTTTAGAAAAATGCGGTCTATTGGTGGACACTGCAAGCATAAGGATTACTTTTTTTTTTTTTTCTTTTGAGACGGAGTTTTGCTCTTGTCACCTAGGCTGGAGTGCAGTGGCGCAATCTTGGCTCACTGCAACCTCTGCCTCCCAGGTTCAAGCGATTCTCCTGCCTCAGCCTTCAAGTAGCTGGAATTACAGGTGTGCACCACCACCACACCCAGCTAATTTTTGGTATTTTTAGTAAAGACAGGGTTTCACCATGTTGGCCTGGCTGGTCTCGAACTCCTGACCTCAAGTGATCCACCCACCTCGGCCTCCGAAAGTGCTAGCATTACAGGCGTGAGCCACCATGTCTGGCTCGATTTACATATTTTTAATGTTTTCATTAGCAAACACCAAAAGTGTTTTGCTAGTAATTCATGGACAACAGTACCACCTGCTCTGAAGAATTCTTGTCAGACCTACACTGCCATTTCTTCCCTCTCCAGTTACTTCAAAGAGTAAAAAGTTGCTCACCCCTTCAATATCCAACTCGAGTATTCTACGAGGTACTTTATGTATCATCTTCCCCTAAAAGAGTTACATTCCCTAAAATATAATAGTATTTGTATTTTCTACAGAGGGATTGGTATACTTCAAATATTATTTGTTTACTTTAGAAAATATGAAGCAATTAAGGTAAGCAAGGAACTTGGATAATATACAGTAGGAAGCACTTTCAAGTAAAAAAGTAACAAATTTCTCTTAGAAAACTAATGATATTAAATGGATTTAGGATTCTCTAGTTTAGCTTGTATGCAATACTAAATGAGTTCTATATCTTAATTTATCCAGCTTTAAAAAGTATTTGCTACTTATAAAAATATCCCACATCACCAATTGCTAGAGATTTTTAGAAATAATTTTATTTAAAGAAAATTCATAGAGGATTAATAAAATGTCATGAATACAATTTTGTTGGTAATAATTAGCAGAATCAAGAGTAGATTAATATATAAGGTTACATGGTATATGAATAATACAAACTAAAATATCAATTTTATGCTAGCTTTATCCATCAGTTTTTCATATTCCAATTTTAAACAAAGCTAGAAATAAGGCAGTACATATGAAACAATTTGCTAAATACTTTTAAATTATGCCAGCTTCTACATCAGATATTACCTCAATTTTAAAACCATCCGCAAATTAAATGACCTTCCCATTATAATTTCTAAATATAAAGAAGCACCAATTGGAAGTCAAAATGCATGAAAGATATTGTTACACATTTTAAGAAAACATTAGCAATATAATAAATCAACAAAGAATTTTCCAAAGAATATTGCATGAGGTAAGGTATATTAAATGTTTTATGCCTAGAATATTATCTACCTGCATTCTTCTCCATATAGTTTAAAACACCAAAGCACGGACTGAAGAAAGGATCATTTAAAAATGAATAATAGATGGCAGCACATGCCATTTAGCGATAAAAGGAAGATGGACTATGTGCATTAATTTGCAAATAATGTTTTTTATCCAAATAGTCCTGTGGTTCCAATATCCTTGAATGATAAGATTTTTTTACTGTGTGAAAAAAGAAAACATCCTTTTACTGATGGAAAGCTTCTAATCTTATTCGAGTTGGATCTTCTGGATGTCTCAAGGCAATTCCATTACGCAGCAGCAGCTCAACATAAGGTGGCCAAAAGGAATCACTAATTTTGACATATGGATCATGTGGAACATCAAATAATCTATTTATAAGAATCTAGGAGAAAATATCATTCAAAATATACTTTACTTGGGAAAAAGTCAATACAGCTATAATAAAGGTTTTGTCAAAGAATATTGACCTCTTTTCTTTTTCAACAACTGTTTAATACTTTTAATCTACAAATTTGAATTTCCTTTTTGAAAGGACTACGGGTATTAGCTAATGAAAAAAACTTTAAAGTGAAGTTTTGCATCTTTAATTTAGAAAAACATTTCCTAAAAATTGGTAAGAAAGAATTTACAATTCTCCCACTTCTCTTGGGATTAATATCTTCTTTAGGATAAAGACAAAAATCTTAAAAAATTAATATTTCACAAAAAACACAAAAAAGTTAAAAAGAAAGTGAGCAAGTGTGTCTTAATATTTGAGGGAAAAATCACTGGTCCTGTCCTCCACAAAACACCTATTCTTCCGATAAATATTTACAAGATTCAATGTTATCATCATCGCTTCCTTCAGCTTCATCCTGAGTATCCCTGATCTTCATTAAGGATATTGTGGAATTACAACCACAAATTGAATTTTTATTATTTGTATTAAATTATATAGGCTAGCATTTTCCAAACTGCATTCCATAGAATTAGTCTCCCTGAAGATGTTCTTAGTTCCTGAAAAACAGAGTTCTGTGATCAAACAAGCTTGGGAAAGCTTGCTAATGTGAAGTGAGAATCAGCTGTCTTTCCCAAATCCACTGCTATTATAAAAGTCTTCTGAAGAAAGAAGTATTTACAATTGTTTGAATACTAATGTTATGAAATACAGTGAAAAACGCTAAATGTAGATCAATTATTATTTTGCCTCCTCAGCTATCTTCCAGTGCCTTCACAAATTACAAAACTAGAACTCAGAAGAGTTAAGGGATTCCTCAGGGCACATAATCAGTGGTGGATCTTGGATTAGACTCCATATCTCAAAATTACCTCCACATCTCAAAAATTTGTCAGGCCAAATTTTTAACTGAAAGATGCTATTATTTTAAGGAACATGGAAAAGAAAAGGCATAATTTATACAATTACAAAGTGCCATAGAAATAAATCAAATTAATCCATCAAGCTCTAATCTCAATAAAATTTTGTAATACCTTATTTCTTGAAATAAAATTTTCAACTATCATTAATTATTTCATGTCCCACATCCCATGGGAGGAAAAAAGCTTTGGCCTCATTTCTTTTGAGTACCATGATATAGAACTAAATATTAATTGTATTTTAGAGCAATGGCTTATTTTAGTACAAATGGCTTATTTTAGTACAAATCTTTCCTATTTTGCATTTCTAATTTTAATAATATTATTTTTAACCTAACTGCAGTTTTAATATTAGTTCCTTTATCACTGACAATATGAGCCTTGGAGACAAACTTAGGATTCTAATGCTAAGTTTTATATGCTGATATAGTTTAGGTGTATCCCCTGCCAAATCTCATATTGAAATGTAATCCCCAGTGTTGGAGGTGGGGCCTGGTGGGAGGTGATTGGATCATCAGGGTGAATTTCTCGTGAATGCTTTAGCATATCCCCTTGGTGCTGTCCTCATGACAGTGAGTTCTTGCAAGATCTGGTTCCTTAAAAGTGTGTGTGGTACCTTTCCCCCTCCCTCTTGCTCCCACTCTGGCCATGTAAACTGTCTGCTCCTGCTTCACCTTCTGCTATGAGTAAAAGCTCCCTTAGGCCTCCCTAGAAGCTGAGCAGATGCCAGTGTCATGTTTGTACAGCCTGCAAACCATGAGCCAATTAAACTCCTTTTCTTTATAAATTACACAGTCTCAGGTATTTCTTCACAGCAATACAAGAATGGCCTAACACATATGGTACATACTATGTACACTACTAAAAAATTATACATGTAACACCTTTCAGTATTTCCATGACTGACAATTTTCATTAAAAAAAAAAAAAGTTAAGTCATCCATGAGAAACTATAGACAATTTAGTTTCAGCATAAACTAGAGTAGCTAGAAATATGTTAAAATATTCTAATTACAAATCTAATATATATTTGTATTTTGCTTTTCAAAGCAATAATATTCTGTATTAAATCCTGAGGAACCAAAACTTGTCAGCTGGGCAAAAAGACTCTTTAACACCTAGTTCATTAAGTTAAATGAAACACATTTTCTGAAATCACTCTTTCTTCAAAATTTACCAATGATTTTAAAAGGGGGTACACTAATTGGTAAATACCCTGTTCTTCATACACTATTTCATTTTCCTTTCTGCCCAATTTGTCATGAATTGTCATATCAAGATCTTCCAAAGTATTTAAAATAATTGATAATATGGTTGAGGTTCAAAAACATTTTTGAAAAGGTCGAAGATATTTATAAAACAAGGTATATGTCAAGTCAGAGAAAGTTGGAAAACTCAGTACTTACATTAAAAGAAAAGAGACTGATGTTATTTTTTTAAAAATTGTACAATTCCTACAACTTTGTGGAAGGAATCTTTAAGTTCATTATGTATTTTATACAGAGTACAGAGCTACCAATTAAAGAGTCAATGTAACAGCATTGAATTTTACTATGTAAGTATTAGATGACATCATTAAAATTTTTTTTTCACCCTGTCAGCTCATACCTAGATAAAAACTTTACCTGTAATAAATCTTGGGAATATGATTAAGAGATAGACCTTAAATTAACATTATTTTAAAAATAACAATATTCCTCTCAGTACTATACAGGGAACAGAAACTAATTTTATACCAAAGATATATTATTACAAATATATTTAATAAAGAATGATGAATACTTTAAGAATTATTTCTTGTTTTTCAAGTCTGAGTATAATTGTTCACAAATAACTAATTAAGAGACAGCTTCAAGACAAGACAAAGTACACAAAACACTTACCTCTAACATTTCATGCAGTGTTATCAGCTGTACAGTTGATTCTTGAATGTTTTTCTTCAAGAGAAATGTGAATAACAAACAATTACCACTTCAGTTCTGCCAATGGTGAAATATTGGACTGTTTTTACAAGACTTTTATTTTATTTTTGAGAGAGTTTCACTCTTGGCGCCCAGGCTGGAGTGCAATGGCCAATCTCGGTTCACTGCAACCTCCGCCTCCCGGGTTCCAGTGATTCTCTTGCCTCAGCCTCCCGAGTAGGTAGGATTACAGGCGCTCCCACCACCACGCCTGGCTAATTTTTGTATTTTTAGTAGATACGAGGTTTCACCATCTTGGCTAGGCTGGTCTGGAGCTCCTGACCTCAGGTGATCTGCCCACATTGGCCTCCCAAAATGCTGTGATTACAGGCATGAGCCACCATGCTTGGCCAAGAGTTTTAAAATTAGTATTTTTTAGTTGTAATGGTATAAAGTAACTAAAATCAAATATTCATAATTAAGTGACAAAAAATTCTGAAAGTAAATGTTATTGTATTTAAGTCAGATTCATAAAAATGCAGTGGAAATATCTTCTAAGACAGTGAAAACTTTTATAGTAACTGGAAGATACAATTAAAACTATCCATAAACATATAATAGATATACACATTATATATAATCATATAAAAAATTTAGTATTTAAATCCCCCAATAAAACCTCCCCAAATGACATTCTAGAGTACATTTATGCAGTTTCAGTACAGGAAACTTGCTCTTATGAGAGACTTAATCATCATTCTATAGCTCTTGACAGTTTGTCATGTTAACTCATTAGTTGTTTCTTCCTTGGAATGACAGAGAACAAATCTCACTCCAATTCTATCCAAGAGTTCCTCAAATATTTAAAGACTGCTATTATAAGGCCCAAGTCTTCTCTTTTTCACATTAATCACCATTTGTTTCTTCAATTATTTTTTTCTTTTTTTTGGAGACGGGGTCTCACTCTGTCACCCAGGCTGGAGTGTAGTGGTGCCATCATAGCTCACTGCAGCCTTGACTTCCTGGGCTCAAGCTATCTTCCCACCTCAGCCTTCCGAGTAGCTGGAACTACAAGCACATGACACAGTAATGTTTTCGTTTAAATTTGTTTGTTTTGTAGAGGCAGGGTCTTGCTACGTTGTCCAAACTGGTCTCAAATTTTTGGCTTCAAGTAATCCTCCCACCTTAGTTTCCTAAAGTGCTGGGAATACAGGTGTGAGCCACCACACCCCACCTCAATATTTTTCGTATGGCACAAATTTGAGGCTTCTCAATACCATGATTATTCTCTGAATGTGCTTTAATTTGTCTTTTGTTTTCCTTCATCTAGTCTCCCACAATGATCTAGGTGTGATTTGACTACCGAAGACAAAAAAAGAACACCCACTTTCATAATTACGGAGACCAGAATTCTATACATTAAATTTAAGATGGTATTAGCTTTTAGACGTCTATTTTTTTCCTTGTGGACTTCTGAGAATACTATCATCTAAAATGCCAAAGTATTTTTCATATATCTAGCTAAAAATGTCTTCCTTATTCTATAATGTTTTAAACATAGATATCCTTTGTATTTCTACTTAAACATCATCCTATTTTATTTGCCTTAGTTCCTAACTAGCTAAGAAATAAAGTCTTTATTCCGTCATCCAACATATTTACTATCTAGCCCTCTTACTTTCACGTCATTTGTAAACTTTGATAGCCATATATTCTATCTCTTTACCTAAGTTATTGTTAAAAATGTTCAACAGGACAGACTCTAAAGGAAGCTGCTAGAAAGTTCCAAGATAATACTAATCCTAATTCAAAACTTTCTGATTAGGATTAGTATTATCTTGGAAAAAAGAAGTGAGGTTATCAAATCTGACATAATGACCCCAAAATGGCTCATGGTAATCAAGCTTCCTTTTAAGGATGCCTCAAACCTCCGGTTCTATTAGTGGAGCAAAAGCAACCAAAAAAAGTTGAAAAAAATGGAGGAGACTGGGACCAGAAAATACATCAGTGAGTTGTTGCAAGATTAAGGTCATAAAGAGGCAAGGAATCATGACTTTAATGAAATGGTCAAAAGAAGGCTGTCATACTTTTACAAATAAATAAGAGGTAAAAAACAATAACAGAATGGAAGACACAGTCCATAACAAATGTAAAGCCTATAGACAATTATAAGAAAGGGAAGAGTAAAAAGAACCCAGATAGTAAAAACATAAACAAACAGAACTTTTTCTCCTTTTCTTATTATAGTCACATCCATTCAATAAATATGAACTGAGAAGGCTCTATATAAAAGATATGCAAGATAGAAGAGATACAAAGATGAACTGAACACATCAAGTAGCTCACAGGGCATGGGGGTGAAGGGAGAGATACACATAAATAACACTAACAAAATCATTTGAAAAGTATTAATAAAAGGACACTGTCCGGAGCTGCACGCCCCGGCCATAGCGAATAATAATTGAAGATTAAACGCCTGAGCTATATTCATTTCCACCCCACACCTTCTCCCTATCTTTGCCTTTTTTCCCCTGTACTAATACCTCATTAAAGATGGCGCTCTTCCTGCTTCTTCTTCACTCACTTTTCCCGCGCGCGCCCGGGAAAATTGTTACTTAATAGCGCAAGCGCAACATGACATCCGACCGGAGAAACGGAAACTAACCTGGCCACGCCCTCGGCAATGAGATCATTTCCGCCTTAGCCCAACCCCTTCCCTTCCAAGTGTATATAAGGCAGTGCATTACCGCCATTAAACGAGACTTGATCAGAGCACTGTCTTGTCTCCATTTCTCGTGTCTCTTGTTCCCCAAATTCCCACCCCCTCCTCCAGGGCCTGCTCTGACTATCCCGCAGGCCGGGATAGGACACCTAGAGCCAGGTTCAGTAGCTCACATCTGCAGTACCTGTTGTGTGGAGGCTGAGGCGGGAGGATAGTTTCAACCCAGGAGTTCAAGTCTAACCTGGGCAACATAGCAAGACCTCGTCTCTAAAAAAATCAATCAATAGGTCAGGTGTGGTGGCTCATGCCTGTAATCCTAGCACTTTGGGAGGCTGAGGCGGGAGGATCAACTGAGGTCAGGAGTTTGAGACCAGCCTTGACAACACGGTGAAACCCTGTCTCTACTAAAAATACAAAAAAGATTAGCTGGGTGTGGTGGCATGTAATTGTAGTCCCAGCTACTCGGGAGGCTAGGATAGGAGAATTGATCGCCTGAACCTGGGAGACAGAGGTTGCAGTGAGCAGAGATCATGCCATTGCACTCCAGCCTGGGTGACAGAGCAAGACTCGGTCCCCAAAAATAAAAATAAACAAAAATTAAAAAATAAATAAAAGAACACCTAAATTTCATATGTTTCACTCAAAAGATGTTTGAACTGTCTTAAGTAGGAATCTGCCACCCTCAACAGATTGGAAGGGTTTTAACCTAGGCAGAAAAAACAATGTGTAAGCCACAAAAAAGTGAGAGGTCAACTGGTGACACAGCTGAATGGATTCACGTAAGAGATGGATGAATGTTGGGAAATGAGGCTGAGGAGACAGAAGTCCATAGTATAAATCCTAATGAAGAGATTTCTAAGAAGTTTACAGACTTCATTCCCTAAGAAGACATGAAAGATTTTATACTGAAAATGATTAAACTAAACATATTATTATTCAATGATTACTCCAATTTCAAAAAAGTCTTAACACCATATGTATATATATATAAGAACTGTTCACAATCTTCTGCCACTCAATAAAATATTTATTCGCTTTTTCAGAAAAGGTTTATTTCATTATAGCTACTATTAAAATAGTCAATAACTTACAATAATCTGTAACAAATTTTAAACATCATTCTTTTGATTTAAAAAGTTGTACATACTCATCACAGAAAATTGAAAAAATTGTGAAAAGCAAAAAAACCACCTACAATCCTAGCTCTCAGACATAAGCACTATCAATTTTTAAAACATAAATTAGATTCAAACAATTTAATCATCAGGGTTTTATTTGTTCAACAATTAGTTGTATTTCATTAACTTCTCTGAAGGTGTTCAATACATTATATGACAAGCTGACTTACTCCCATCATACGGATATAATATAAAAAATATACTCTGGCTGGGTGCAGTGGCTCACACCTGTAATCCTAACATCTAATCGTCCCACTTGGGAGGCCGAGGTGGGCAGATTGCCTGAGCTCAGGAGTTCAAGACCAGCCTGGGCAACTTGGTGAAATCCCCTCTCTACTACAAATACAAAAAATTAGCTGGGCGTGGTGGCGCACACCTGTAGTCCCAGCTACTCTGAAAGCTAAGGCACGAGAATCACTTGAACCCAGGAGGCAGAGGTTGCAGTGAGCTGAGATCACACCACTGAACTCCAGCCTGAGTGACAGAGACTCTGTCCCCCCGCCCCCTCCAAAAAACTACACGTATACTTAATCCCATTTTATTGAATAATTAGGTTGCTTCTAGTGTTTCAATAAATATAATGTGATAATGGCATATTTCCATACATGTGCATACCTTTGAACTAAATAAGAAAATATGCTTCTAAACCCACCTAAAAATAATTTCAAATATGATAATTTATATAAATGTCTTCTCTAAAACTTACCTTTTTCTTTTTAACACTTCTATCAGGCAGAGGAAAATGGTCTTCTAGAAACTTGCCCAAGGTACTCAAGAGTTTCTCCTTATATTCTTTTACATTAAGCATTTTAGTTTTCAGCTCATTAAAGATTCTAATAGATTCAAAAAATTAAGAGAAACATTTAACTGATAAAACACATATGCACATGTAACTAGTTATTCATGAAGTTGATCGAAAACTTTGTTAAAACTTCATTTGCTCAAACCAAATAACTACCTTTTTGAAAATAATATTGTGTATATAACAAGTAGAGAAACCAAAGGTACAGTCAAGTCACTCATAAAATATCATATAATAGCTAATAGTTAACAAAAGTTAGGCCAAGACTCCTGATTCCTGGTAAAATTAACTTCATCTATGTTTCATGTAACGCAAAAAATAAAATACTTTTCCTATTTTAAAAACCTAGAACGTAAAATTAATACCTTGATTCAGAAAATGTTTCGACCTTATTTTTCAATTCACTGTGTAGTACATTAAGAGATTCCATTATCTGTTGCTGTTCATCCAACCACCGTTGTTCTCTTTTGACATGGAAAAACAAAACAAGCAATATTTAAATAAAACTTTAAAGGCCACTTAATACATATGAATGATTAATAGTAATTATAACATAAACATACCTTTCTAAGTCTTCCTTTAACTTTTCATTCTTTGACTCCATAGTGGACAGTACCATTTCAAGATCTTGTCTCAGCTTTTGGAACTAGAATAAAATAATTCAAATTAATTGCTTAGTCTTTAATCTTACAGTTTTATTTCTGAACAACAGTCAAATTTACATAGTGGTCCAGGATACTTCCAGTCAGACATCAGTAGTAAAAAAGCCTAGCAGAAAGCATTTGAAAAGGTAAATATACAGTAGGTGCTAAATTTGTGGTAATATTCTATGGTTAAATTCAAAAATATCAGAAGGGGTTTTGAGCAGTAAATTTTAATTTCATATTGAAAGGCAAGATAATGGTGTGTTTTCAGTAATCAGAGATTAGGTACTTTCTCTTTTTTTGTTGTTTTTGAGACGGAGTCTCGCTCTGTCACCCAGGCTGGAGTGCAGCAGTGCCATCTCAGCTCACTGCAAGCTCCCCCTCCCAGGTTCACGCCATTCTCCTGCCTCAGCCTCCTCCAGTAGCTGGGACTACAGGCGCCCGCCACCATGCCAGGCTAATTTTTTGTGTTTTTAGTAGAGACGGGGTTTCACCATGTTAGCCAGGATAGTCTCCATCTCCTGACCTCATGATCCGCCCGCCTCAGCCTCCCAAAGTGCTGGAATTACAGACGTGAGCGACCGCGCCTGGCCCAGGTACCTTTTCTTTTCTTTTTCATTTTTATTTTTTGAGACGGAGTCTTGCTTTGTCGCCCAGGCTGGAGTGCAGTGGTGTGAACTTGGCTCACTGCAACCAACCTCTGCCTCCCGGGTTCAAATGATTCTCCTGCCTCAACCTCCCGAGTAGCTGGGATTACAGGCGCGCCACACCACGCCCAGCTAATTTTTGTATTTTTAGTACAGACTAGGTTTCACCATATTGGCCAGGCTGGACTCAAACTCCTGAGCTTGTGATCCACCTGCCTTAGCCTCCCAAAGTGCTGGGATTACAGGTGTGAGCCACCGTGCCCAGCCCCAGGTACCTTTTCTAAGGAGACTGTACAAAACAGATACAATTGACTCACTCATTCAATATTTATTCAATCAATCATTCAATCAGATTTGTGATCAATCATTGACTATTAGGCATTGCTGAAGGAGGGAGAGATGCAAAGGTGAACAGAACAAAGAGGAATTCAGACATTTACTCCAGCAATGGTCAAGTGTCATAAAGAAAAAAAAAATCAAAATAAAAGTAAAGGCATGAAGAGCAAGAAATGGACGTTTTAGGTAGTATGATATGAGAAGACTTCTCTGATCAGGTAACATTTAAGTAACAGAGAAAGGCCAGGTGCAGTGGCTCAAGCCTGTAATCCCAGCACTTTGAGAGGCCGAGGCGGGTGGATCACAAGGTCAGGAAATCGAGACTGGCCTGGCCAAGATGGTGAAACCCTGTCTCTACTAAAAATACAAAAATCAGCCGGGAGTGGTGGTGGGCGCCTCTGTAGTCCCAGCTACTCGTGAGGCTGAGGCAGGAAAATCGCTTCAACCTGGGAGGCGGAGGTTGTAGTGAGCCGAGATCGAACCACTATACTCCAGCCTAGGTGACAGAGTGAGACTCTGACTCAAAAAAAAAAAAAAAAAAAAAAAAAAACAGAGAAAGAAGACAAAGGAAAACATCGTGTTATTCTCTAGCAAAAGAATGTTCCAGGGAAAGGGAATAGTTAAGTACTGAGGCCAGGAGGCAAAAGTATGCTTGAGGGATTTCAGGAACAACAAAGAAGACTAAAGAGAATTACAATAAGCACTAGTGTTCCAGTCTCCTGATCACAAGGGTTTCCATTAGCTCTTTTTAAACATAAATCAGGTAAGTTCAACGTGTATATTACAAACCCTAAAGTAACTATGAAAAAAAAAAAAGAAAAGAAATAACTAATAAGCCAATACTGATAATTAGACACCAGCCTGGGCAACATGGCAAAAAACCTGTCTCTATAAATAAATACAAAAATTAGCCAGGCATGATGCCACAAGCCTGTAGTCCCAGCTAGTTGGAAGGCTGAGGCGGGAGGATCACATGAGGCCAGGAGGTGCAGGCTGAAATGAGCTGAGATCATACCACTGCATGCCAGCCTGGTTAACAGAGCAAGACCCTGCCTCAACAAAGACGACGACGACGATGACGACGACGACAACACCACCACCACCACACACAATCAACAACAACACCACACACAATCCAAGAAAGTGGGAAAAGGAAAAAACAGGAACAGAAAAACAGTAGGATGAAAAGAAAGATAAATCAAGGCCAAGCCTGGTAACTCATTCCTGTAATTCTATCACTTTAGGAGGCTAAAGTGAAAAGGTTGTTTGAGGCCAGGAGTTCAAGGCTGCAGTGATTTATGATATCAACACTGCACCCAGCCTGGGCAATCGAGCAAGATCCTCTGCTCCCAACCCTCCCTCCCCACCCAAAAATATAAATCAATAACACATCTTTCAATGCAACCATATTGATTATATTAAATATGGTCTAACAATGGCATTAAATTGAAAAATAATAGAAAGGTATCTAGAAAACTTTGCAACCATTTGGATACCAAAAACATACTTCTAAATAATCCATGGGTCAAAGAAGCAACCAATAGGAAAATAGGAAATTATTATAACTGAGTAGAAATAAAAACATTAACATCAAAATTTTGTCTTTTATTTTTTCATCCCCCAAACAAATGACATGCAACATCAAGATTTCTGGGATGAAGCAAAAGCAGTACTCAGATAAGAATTCAGACCACTAAAAATCTATATTTTTTTGAGACAGAATCTCGCTCTGTTGCCAGGCTGGAGTGCAGCAGCACTATCTTGGCTCACTGCAACCTCCGCCTCCCGGGTTCAAGAGATTATCTGGCTTCAGCCTCCCAAGTAGCTGGGACTACAGGTGCGTGCCACCACACCCAGCTAATTTTTGTATTTTTAGTAGAGATATGGTTTCCCTGTATTGGCCAGGATGGTCTCCATCTCCTGACCTCGTGATATGCCCACCTCAGCCTCCCAAAGTGCTGGGATTACAGGTGTGAGCCACTGCACCTGGCCTAAAAGCCTATTTTAAAAGAAAAGAAAGTTCACAAATTAATAACCTCAGCTTCTATCATAAGAAATATGAAAAAAGAGCAAATGAAACCCACAGTAAGTTGAGGAAATAATAACAACAAAGAAGTTAAATCAGTACAACATAAAAAATAAGGAAAAAGCAATGAAAATTGGTTTTTGAGGTCAATAAAATTAGATTAATTACTGGGTGGGGAGAAGGAGGACATAAATCACCAATATCAGAAATGAGACAGGTGACATCGCTACAAACATTAAAATGATAATGGAGAAACGTTATGGACAATCTTGTCACTAATCAGGTAAATAAATTATTTGAGAGACATAAGCTACCAAAGTTCATTTAGACAAATAAGAAATCTGGCTCCAGAGAAACAGAATTTGTAATTAAAAATTACAAAATTTCTAATTAAAAATTTTCACAGATGAAAATTTTTATTCATCTCTAAATTTTTATTCAGTTTATGAGAAAATTTTAGGCCCAGATGGTTTTATCTGAGAATTCAAACAAACACATCAGGAATAAAAAATTTCTATTCTATACAAACTCTTTAGAAGAGAAGAGAATACTTCCTAATTTGTTCCATGAGGCTGGTATTAAAGCCTAACAAAGACATCACAAAAAAGAAAACCACAGACCAATATACCTCATGAACGAACACATAAGCAAAAATCTCATAAAATTTCAGCAAATTACATTCAGCAATAAGTAAGAAAGATTAATATACTATGGCAAAGTGGGGTTTATCACAGGAATATGCAGTTAAGCAAGCAGATAAAATCAATTTTAAGGCCGGGGGCGGTGGGTCATGCCTGTAATCCCACAACTTTCGGAGGCTGAGGCAGGCAGATCACCTGAACTTGGGAGTTTGAGATCAGCCTGACCACCATGGAGAAACCCCATCTCTACTAAAAATATAAAATTAGCCAGGTGTGGTGGAGCATGCCTGTAATCCCAGCTACTTGGGAGGCTGAGGCAGGAGAATTGGTTGAATCGGGAGGTGGAGATTGCAGTGAGACAAGATCATGCCATTGCACTCCAGCCTGGACAACAAGAGCGAAACTCCATCTCCAAAAAAAAAAAAAAAAAAAAAATCAATTTTAAAAATCAATCAATGTAATTCACCATATCAACAGATTTTAAAAAGGAGAAAAACATTTAATAACCTCAATAAATTCAAGAAGAGTAAGTAACCAAATTCAATATTAATTTGTGATTTTAAAATAAAAGACTTAGGCCAGGGGCAGTGGCTCATGCCTATAATCCCAGCACTTTGGGAGCCCGAGGACCGAGGTTAGGAGTTCAAGACCAGCCTGGCCAACAACATGAAACCCCATCTCTACTAAAAATACATAAATTAGCCCAAAGTGGTGACAGGTGCCTGTAATCCAAGCTACTCGGGAGGCTGAGGCAGGAGAATTGCTTGAACCCAGGAGGCAGAGATTGCAGTGAACTGAGATCGTGCCACTGCACTCCAGCCTGGGCGACAGAGTGGGAACGACGGAAGGAAAGACAGAAGGACGGAGGGACAGAAGGACGGAGGGACAGAAGGACGGAAGGACAGAAGGACAGCAGGAAGGGAGGAAGGAAGGGAGGAAGGGAGGAAGAGAGGGAGGAAGGGAGGGAGGAAGGGAGGGAGGGAGGGTAGGAGGATAAAATAAAACTTCATAAACTGTAACAGAAGAAAATTTCTGCAATCTGATTAAAAGTATCTATGAAAAACCTACTGCTAACATCATACTTAATGGTGAAAGGGCAAATGTTTTCTGATAACCTCAGGAATAAGGAAAAGATGTCCATTCTTACTATTTCTATTCAATATTTTACTGAAGTACAAGTTCTAGGACAGCAAAATAACCCCCCAAAAAGATATAAAAATCATACAGAAGGGAAAAAATATGTAAAATTGTGTTTGATCTCAGATAATAAATATATAGAATAAAAGTTTCTCAAGGATATAAAATAAATATATAAATATTAATTATATTTGTATTTATTAGTAATAAATAAA